GGGGTGAGGGTGTGGGGGGAGGTGCAGGAGTCAGGGCAGGGGGGTGAGGATGTGGGGGGAGGTGCAGGAGTCAGGGCAGGGGGCTGAGGGTGTGGGGGAGGTGCAGGAGTTAGGACAGCAGAGGAGGGTGAGGAGTTGGGAGGCAGTAGGCACCAGGGGAGCTGATGGAACAAGGGGAGGAGACATGGCAGCAGAGGGAAAAGGTAAAGGTTTAAAAATATTTATTAATAACTTGGGTGCCACAGTGGCAAAGGCGCAGGAGTCTGGGCAGGGGGTTGGCAATGGGAAGAAGAATTTTGGGGGGCTCGAGGGCCGGGTTACTTTACCTGCCACTCCACAAGGGAGCTGGGAGCTGGCCTCATTCATTTTCCAAACAAGGAAATTCTTGACGAAGAAAAAATCCAAAGAAAACCCCTATTTCATGGCAAATGAATAGTTTCAAAAGGATCTAGCATTCTGGGCGATACTGTAATATGTTCTCTGGATTTGAAGCACAACTGTAATGTTTTGAATTTGTTTTTAAAACCTGCCACTCCACAAGGGAGCTGGGAGCTGGCCTCATTCATTTTCCAAACAAGGAAATTCTTGACGAAGAAAAAATCCAAAGAAAACCCCTATTTCATGGCAAATGAATAGTTTCAAAAGGATCTAGCATTCTGGGCGATACTGTAATATGTTCTCTGGATTTGAAGCACAACTGTAATGTTTTGAATTTGTTTTTAAAACAAAAGGAAAGGACATTTCAAAAGGAAACATTTTGACTAAAAAAAACCCCATCAAGCTGCTGTGTCTCAGAGTTTTTAAATGACTTTTTTTTTTCAGAATAATTTTTCTGAAATGAATGAAATCGCCCCAAATATGTGGGACCATTTGTTTGGGGGTATTCTTGAACCAGAACTTGTTTCAGTTGAAAAGATTCCTCCAGAGAAGCCAAAGAGCCTGGAGAGCCTATTACCAAAATCTCCTAGAGGAGCTTCCGCCCTCTCCCCAAGAAGAACCCGAACTTGTCCCCTCCCCTCTGTGCCCCGGCATCCTTTGGGGAGACAGGGTGATGCCCCATCCTGAGTCTCTGCATCGTGTTTCAGGACCAAGGCAACAGTTCGCCAGGCCGATTGTTTTCACAAAGTTCTTGAGCTGAGTGGGCAACTCCACAAGCATAAAGTCACAGTCAAGACGGGGAGGTTATACCCGGCGTTCATGGGGTGGCTGTAAATTCTTCAAATCTGTTCTGTGTCATCCTTCACTAGTAGATCATAGACCCCCAGCCAGACCCGCACTGAGCTGCAGGGCGAGAGGACAAAAGACCAGCATAGTGGAAGGCTATTCACATTTCATAGTGGGCACCCAGCTAGAATTGGGCCAATAACGTCAGCGTAGTTCTCCAAGAGCTCGATTTGACTCCAACCTCATCTGATCTCTGTTTTTTCTTGGCACACATCAAGACACCACAACGCAGGTCAGAGTCACGTAGACGTGGCCGTTACAAAGCGTGCAGCTGATCCGTGCCTTCAACGTGATATCGTGCACGTTATGTCCAATTCCTGTCCGAATCGCTCTTCAGTCTCCTGCCACGCGTGGGCGTATACTTCGCTCGGTTTCTCCCTGTCTGGGCAGGCTCCTTCCATGCATTCTTTGCCATTGTTGCTGATGCTATTGTTTCTAGCACCTGGTTCTACACAGTGGAAATGAACCATTTGGTAACCTTGTCTGGAAGTTGTGGGACGTTCTGGTGTTATTTAAGCCGCAGTTTTCACCAAAAATCATGAATTCTTTCTCCTTGGCTTCCGGGGAGGTTGACCAGACATCCCAATAACATCAGTATTGTCCCAGTATTACAGGTTTTGTCTTATGCAAGCGACTATCTGTCCCTGAAAAAAAGTGCCCCAATTTTCCACATTCTATTAACTCACTCTATTTAACTCACTCTATTTTTGGAATCCATTTAATACAGTTATGTTTATTTCCTTCTGTCCTGGGTCACTGTGGCTTGCTCATGCCAAGTTGAACCTATCTACAGGAGCACTGAAAATGGAAACCAGTCACGTCTGGATTAAAGAGTTTCAAATTTTCCAGGGATTTCCATGATTTGAGGACTGGAAAACAAAAGAGGTGGCTGGGGCTGGGTTGGGGGGCAGAGGGAGACATGGGCATGGATGGAGGACACCACGGGAGAAGATAAGAACTGAGGACGTAAGCAATTCCCAGGCATCCCCCATGCTGACTTACCCGATGTCAATTCTGCAGTGCACGGCAGTTAGTACCCACTTCGGGCGCACCAGGCTCCCACCACAGAAGCTGCGGCCGTTCCTGAGGAGAGCTGCTTGGTAGGGCCGCGAGCCAACGCCGCAGGGCTTCCCCCAAGGACTCGTTCTTCATCTCCCTCTGCCAATGAGGCTGCAATGGAGAGAGGCGCATGTCAGCCATGAGCGGGGAAGGGGGTGGGGCTAGCATCAGTCACATCCCTGCGGATTGGCTGGTGGCAGGAGGACCACGAGGCACCTCTCGCATGCAGCCATGAAAAGGCGCAAGGTTCATGCCCTGGGAAAACCGTGAGGCCCCGTCACCCTCGTGCAGAGAGAAGAATCCCAACAGGGCAGCAGCAGAGGGGGGCAGTAGGATGACCGGGGAACACGTGGAGATGGAAGGGGCGCGCCAGGACGGCCGAGATGGGATCTTCTTGTTCTCTCCAAATGCACCAGGGAGGGGGAAGAACTGGCCCAGATGGAGCAGCCGCAGCTGAGAATTAGCAGGGCGTTATGGCCGTGAGGGATGAGCCGTGGATCGCGGGGGAGCCTCATTATTTCAAAGCTGGAGCTTGAGACGTTGATGTGACCGAGTTGCCCACGGGAGCTGAGGAGGCGACCCAGGAGGCTCCTTCCTTTTTGGCAAGGTCCAACCCATTTTCCAGTCGTTTGTTGAAAGACTCGAAAGCAGGGGTGGGCAAAAGGGCCTCTGCGGGCCACATCCAGCCCACCAAGTGGATAGATCTGGCCCACGGAGGCCCTGCTGCTCCTCCACCCCCAGGCCAATTAAGGCCTGAGGATGGGGGAACACGCAAAGCCTTCTCCGCTCTGGCCCCGTCCTGCGAGCAGCACTTCAAAGAGCCACGTGCTCCTGGCAGGGCAGGAGGAAGCTTCGCGTGCTCCCCCCCCAGTCCCTAACTGGCCTGGGGGAGAGGGAGCCCGCAAAGCCTCCTCCCACCTGCCAGGAGCACGTGGCTCTTTGAAGCACCGTGAGTTGCTCACAGGGGTGGGGAGAGAGCGGAGGAGGCTTTGTGTGCTCCCCCTCCCCCAGGCCTTAATTGGCCTAAGGGCAGGGGAACAAGGGACGTCTCCTCCCACGCCAGGGGCATGGGCACCTTGGGGGAACGTAGGGTGGGGGCAAAGGCCTCCCTCACCCCCAGACCAACCATTATCTGGGGGTGGGGAACCCAGAAATATATTGGCCCTGCCCCTTCCACTCGATGCCCCGCCCCTTCCTCTCGGTGCCCCGCCCCCTTCCTGGGTGGCCCAGGGCCACTTTAAAAATTTTCAAAGTGGCCCCCGGCAAAAAATTATTTCCCACCCCTACTCAAAAGCCTTGGCAGCTGGGACTTGAACTTTCACCAGGGAAGAGCCCTGGGGCAGGAAGGTGCCTTTTGCTCTTGGCATGGAAATCCACCTGCCTTTCCCTCAGCTTATAAATCTCTGGAAATCGCAATTCACACATGCTCCGGAGAGCGGGTGGATGAGGAGCGACTGGCCTTTCTAGGCTCCGGAGGCAGGGCCTGGTTACGGGAGATCAGAGGCAGCAAACTTGGTGGCGAGGTCACAGATCGACACCCACAGTCGTGCCGGGTCAGGGCACCAGGAAGAGAAGGCGGCGGCTGCACTCCGGAGCAGGGCAGGAGGCACATTTGGCGGTGGAGAAGGTGCCGTTCCAGGGGCTATTTCCTGCCAGGTCCCCCTGCACAGGACAGAGATGAGAACAAAGGCGGCAGCCAGGTGTCTGAGGGTGGAGGGAGGCGCCCGGTGGCTAAAACGTTGGTTACCTGCTTCAATCCAGTCACCACAGTGACTCACAGGGACAGCCCATGTCCCAGAATATAAAGTGGCCCATCCTACCAGAGATTCCTTCCCTTTTTCCAAGTCACAACTGCTGGTGTCTCTTCCGCTCCCGTGGGCCCCGTGCCAGGAGCTACAGGTGACCCAGGGCCAGTCCAGCCCCCCTGCTCCGAATGGCTGGGGGTCAGAGGTATGGTGGCTGGGTGATTTGGGGATGTGGCTTGGTGCATCCTGCTATTTTGGGGATAACTCTGGGCTAGCAGGGGGAATAGCAAAGTACTGGTGTGTCAACAGGATATAACTGGGGCTCTGCTCTGTTACTGGGGGATTATGGGAGTACGGGGGGCCTCAGGAAAGAGGGATGGTTTGGCCATTCAGCTGCTTGGCTGGTAGTAGGGAGACGTGGCTTCTAATTGCTGGGCTGCTGCTCTCTTCCTGTAGAACATGGGCCAATTGCTTAGGCACTCTGTGCCTCAGTTTCCCCATCTGTCCTGTTGTGGGGATGAATACAGTGGAGGTTAGGAGGGGCTGACAGCACCTTAGAGTTATTAAACTTTCTTTTAATAAGCTAAGAATGGGAGTTTTGCCCTGTTCTGTTGCTGGGGGGACAATCTAGAAAGGGAACTGGCGGGGGGGGGCTCAGAGCAGCTCATGGAGATCTTTTCCAAGTGGTTTAATTTTTAGTCACCCCCACAGCAGATCAGCTCTTTCTATGGAACATGCCCCTGGGGGAGCCAGGGACCAGGTGGAAGTGGATGATGGAGCTGATTCGGGGGAGACCGGGCTCCCTTGCCACCACACGATCCCAGTGTGTTTATCCATGTGTGGCTCTGCTATCGCCCTCTGGGTACAGGCAGGGTAGCTGAGGCGTAGAGAAATTGCATGATTGTGGGAGTATGAGGAAGAACAGGCACTTAAACCAGCCTTTCCTGAATCCTAATCGAACACCGTACACAGGAGACCGTCCACCCACCCGAAGACACCCCCAGACAACGATTCCCTGTCGCTCTCTCCCAGCAGTAAACCAGTGACAAAGCCGACTGTATCCATCGCCATGGCCGCCATGCAGCTGCTGGTCCTCGCCATGCTGGTCGCCAGGGCAGCAGCAGGTAGGGAAGAGCCCGGCGAGAAGCCAACTTTGGGCGGCGTGGGAGGGTTCGGCGGTTTCATCACAGGCCCTTCCTGGCGCTTAAGACAAGTTGCTGGCCGGGAAGTGGGAAATGTTTGGCCATCCCATCATCGATTGGACAGATTTCAAAAGGGAATTAACATATTCATGCCTCGTCTCTGATTAGTCTCCATTGCTTGTGGAGTAGGCAGGGAGCCATGATTTCACAAGGGATTTTCTTCCTGAATTAGGACACAAAAGAAAGAATTTTGATATTTCTTACCAAGCAAACTATTTGTTCGGGAAAAAGCAGACCTGCTTCACTGAGAGTTCAATGTATTTTCATTTAAAGCTTGTATAAAACTGGCCAATTTACTTATCATTCTTGGGTCCTTAACTCAATCAAGGTTTTTTTGGGGGGGAGGGGGAGTTAAAGGAAAATCTACATGCTTTATTTAAATGATTGCTTTTGTAAAAATACAGTTTTTATAAAGTCAATTTTTATTTTGTATTTCTTAAAAAAGGATTGTTACAACTTTTCTGTCAATTTTTCTTGGTATTTTTCTTTAAATAGGAATTCCATCAAGTCTATTTTTTCTTTGTCCCTATATATCCTTATCATTTGCTCTGTTTTAATAAAAAAAGGGCCATAGTCAGTCTGGGTTCCAATAACATTTTCTTCTAGATTTAAAATCTTAAACATTGATTTAGAAGGGCCAAAACAGAGCACAAGTCTACATTTCTATATTTTCTCTCTTTTCTGTAATGTTCTAGGATCATCCTATTTTTCTGATGCATCTTAGTTCACTCTTTTTCAACTTTTGCTCAGTTTGGTCAATTTTGAGGACTGTACTCAGTGGTTGTCTCTTTTCTGTTTGGCTTTAAGAGAAGCAATCCCATTCGAGGCACATCCTGCTTTCCTGGCACAACCAAACCCCTATGTTGCTTTAAGTTATAAGAGGGAGATGTATACTGAATGTGGTGGGCCTGGCTCGTATTGTTTAGGAGAAGTTTTTGATTAAACAGACAAACAGAGAAAAACTTTCTAATATAAAGTGTACTGTCATGTCCAGCACGCTAGCCACTAGCCACATGTGGCTATTTGGTCGATTGAGCATGGCTAATTTGCTATATCAGTAGCCACTATAGTGGGACACCACGGATATACAAGTTTTGTAGAGCATCAGTACTAATATGATGTGAATTCTGTTATAAAGTGAATGAAAATTATTTACAAAATAAAAACAAATCAAAATGTCCCTTTCTGATAAGAGACTAACACGTTGGTTTGTGCTGAGTTCTAATACGTTGGTTTGTGCTGAGCATGCTCAGTAACACTGCTGCAGCTGCTATCCTCAGTCTGCCCCCTCATGCTCTCACTCTCTTCCCTCCTCCCCCCCCCCTGCCATCACGGCATGCAGAGGTCACCTCCTGCACCGAAATCTGAAATGGCTCCCCAACCCTGTTGTCACAATGTATCAAGCTCTCGCTGAGAATTGAGGAGGGTGTTTCCCCACCCCCGCTCCTGTTCTACAACTTCCCTCTGATTCTCAGCCCCAGTTTACCCACTTCCCCTGGCTCCCTCTGCCACATTTCCACGTTTGCCCTCTCCCTCCCTGTGGCGCGTCCCCCAACCTCCCGCTGCATTTGGCGAGCATGATCAGATCCTGTCTCGGCCTTCTCTTCAGGGGAAACCGTGGCGCTCTTTCCATCGCCCCTTGTACCAGGGGCCCTTATTTCCGCTGTTCATCCTAGGACCCTCCTCTGCCGCTGTCCCAGCTGAAATTCCTCTCCCTGGCACCTGGGTGACTGGAATTCAAGGTTTTCCCAGTGGCATTAGTGCGTCCTTATCCCGCCTGGAAATAGTTCACCTGCTGCATCCTAGTGCTTGATTGAGTTGGGGTTGGCCCTGCTTTGGGCAGAGGGCTGGACTCGAGGCCTCCTGCAGTCTCTTCCTGCCCTGGGATGCGAGGATTCTCTGATTACACAGCTGCATGCGCACAGAGGCTCGTGATCGTCTTGCCACACACCAACCCGTATGGACATGACTAATGCTGACTCCGCCCCCACCCAGCTGGCAGCTGACGCTTGCATCTCTCCATTGCAGGCTCAGACTTATACATAAACCGGCTTGTCGGGGGAGCCAACTGCTCTGTCGGCTCCCGGCTCTACCAGGCGGCTCTCGTGAGGAGAGGCCGTATCTACTGTGGGGGGAGCCTGATACACCCGAAGTGGGTGCTAACTGCCGCACACTGCAGCAAACGGGTCAGGTAAGTCAGTGCTGGGATGGAGGGAGAGAGGATGATGAGTGCAGGGGTAAAGAAACTTAAATTTCTTACAGGTACTGTCCTGTCACAGCCCAGGTCTCTGCCAGCTCTTTAAATAGCTCCCTGATAGCTTTTGCTGCAGCTTAGCCAATTCTCTCAATCCCATCTTATTGCCCCTAATCACTGGACTGTTCTGTGATGCTGCCTGGGGGAGATAAGGACAGGGCTGTGAGGACTTTGCTACCACTTGTGCTTAATGCAAAGAACCTGCGTCTCTGAGGGCTGTGAATTTGCTCCCAAACACCACTAGTCCCTTGCAACACAAGCACTCCCCTCTAGGCTCCTGATGGCCCTGCTCTAGGGTAGTTTGCCAAGCTCCACCTCTTGTGCTGTCTGGGTAACGTGTGCAGGGGGGGCACTTTGGGTTTCTTGGTTTTCTGTCGGGTGGCTCCCGAAGAGTTAAACTGTAATCCAGTGAGGCCGCGGGCCAGACCGGGAGAGCGCACGTGAGCTACAGGGTGGGTTTGGGAGGGTCTCGGGGGAGAGGGAAGTTGGGATTTTGCAGTCTTCATGCCCAAGATGGTTGCCAGACACTAAATCTGCTTAGCTGCCCACCCAGCTTACCCCCAGCCCCAGCCCCTGCCGCCACCCAAGCTGTTTCTTCCCAGCCCCTACAGCCAGCTGAGAAACTGTTTGTGTCCCAATGCCTCACACACACACACACATCCCCCTCAGCCTAGCTCCCTGACACACACAAACACACATCCCCCCAGCCTAGCTCCCTGTCCCTGGCCCCCGGCTCACCTGCCCACAGTCAGAGCCAGAGACCAGCCACCATCATGCAGCAAAACAGCTGAAAACCAACCAAGCCCGCACAAGGGGCATTGCACCAGAGAGCTGATTGGCCAGATGGGAAGAGCTGATTGACTACATCCTCCCCGGCCGATCCTCCCCAGGTGATGAAGATGCTGGGTCTGCTCTCACCTGAGCTGCACTCTAGGGCGCCCCTCCCTCCTTTCACCTTTGGAGGCAGGTAAATAACCCATGTCCCCAATCCTCAGTGTCCCCAGTCCTTAGTGTCCTTAGTGTCTCCTCCCTTAGTGCCCCCACCGCTGGCCGGGGGACCCCAGGAACCCCTTCCCCATCCTCTTCCGTTTTCCTCCAGGCCTCAAATCACTTTTGTGGCTCTTCTCTGCAATTTCCCAGCATCTTTCTTCAGCCGTACCTGGGCCGGCGTGGGGGCTGGCATGCCAGCATCAGCCTCCGCAGAGACGGGGGCTGAGGGAAATGTCCCCCTCCCCGCTCTTGTAGCAGCTTGCTAGCACGGGAGTGGGCAATAATTTTAGATGGAGAGCCACTTCATTCATTTTTTAATTGGCCCAGAACTGTCCAGGAAGGGGCGGGGGCTCTGGCAGAAGGGGCGGGGGCCGGGGAGCTGCACCCCCCCCCTGGCCTGGGAGTGGGAGAGCGTGTGAAGTCTTTGCCCCGGCCTCCTACCCACCTAGGGAGAACTGCCAGCTGTTCAGAACAGCTGGTGGTTCTCTCTAGGCACCTGCCGCCTTGCAGGGCAAGAGGAGACTTTGTGTCCCCCCCGCTCTCAGACCAATCAGGGCCTGGGGGTTGGGAGGAGCACACAAAGTCAGTCGCCCCCCTGCCCCAGCCCTGCAAGGGGTGCATGGTGCTTGCAGGGGGGGGGCAGGGAGCGAGGGACTTTGCACGCTCCTCCCACCCCCAGCCCTGATTGGTCCAGGGGCAGGGGAGTGGCAGGGCATCCGCTGGCCAGATCAACCCACTTGGGGGGCCGGATCCGGCCCACCCCTGCCCTAGAGGCTCTAGGAAGTGGAGACAATCAAGAGAAGCTCTAGGAAATAGTCTCCCTCGCCTCCAGGCTGACATTGTTGATTTTCATCTGGGATGGGGGAGGGGGCTGCAACCCCCTGTTGGATCCAAGGGATCCATGGGCTGAAGCCCTCAGTCCTGGTGTGTCTTGTGGGGGGAAAGTCCCAAGTCCACCAGCCCCACAGCTAGCACCCAGAGCCCCAGATGGAGCGGGGCGGGAGGCTGTGACAAGCTCCAGGAGCCCCCATTGAAAGCAATAGAGCTCTGTAATTCCTGTAGATGCTGCAACCAAAGCTGCCCTCCCCCTCCCGCCTTTCATCCTCTGTGTGACGCTGGTAATGGGGTGGCATTTGCCTCTTGTGAAAGCCCCCCTCTAGCCACGTGCATGTGCTTCCCCCTCCCCCCACTGATTAGCCTCTTCAGCGCTTAGTGCTCCAGCCGAGTCACACACCCTGTGTGCAAATCAACAAACCCTTGCCTGGGTACACGGCTAACCGGGGCCCATCTAGGTGCCCTCTGTAGTGTCATTCTGAGTCCATTCCCCACTTGGAAGAGAGGGGTGCATCCAGGGCTTCCCCCCACTGGAGGCAGCGTCTTCGCCCGTCCCTTAGGGCTTCATCTCAGAGTTACAGAATAGTCCAGCCATCTCCAAAAAGCTCTCCACACAGAGCTATCTATGGTGCTGCCACTCTCTCAGCCAGCTAGTTGCCTCGTCTGCACACTTTAAAGGTCTCAAGAGCAACTGAGGCTACGTCTAGACTGCGGGCTTCTTTTGGAAGAAGCTTTTTTTGGAAGAGATCTTCCGGAAAAACTTCTTCCCAAAGGCAGCGTCCACACTACCAAAGTGCATTGAAAAAGCGATCGTCTTTTTCGAAAGAGAGCATCCAGACTGAACGGACACTCTCGCATTTCAGCTGTGATTGCTACAGATGGAATGGCCACCAGGGCACCTGTGCTTTTTCCTCTTTCCTCTTCTTCCGAAAGAAGTCCCTCTTCCCCGTCCACACACGCCTTTTTGCAAAAGAGCTCTTTTGGGAAAAGGCTTCTTCCTTGTAGAATGAGGATTACCAGTGCTGGAAACACCCCTCTGTTCTTTTGATTTTCTTGCAGAAGAACTGAATGGCAGTGTGGATGTTCCTCAAGTTTTGTCGGAAAAACGGCTGTGTTTCCGACAAAACTCTGTAGTGTAGACATACCCTGACTGCTGCGCTGTTCCCCAGTTCCTTTTATTGGGCCTTCCTGGTCCCTGATTGGCTGCTTCCTTTACTTCCACTCTAGCCTGCATGGAGGACTTCTCTGTTGTTTGTCTGGGGCGGGGTGAGACAGGAGCACAGGACCTCTGGCAGAGGACCTCAGATTGATCCACTTCATCACAGGTTTATTTGGAAAATTCATTAAAACTCATAAATAATCTGTTAAAATATTGCAATGTCCCATGTCAACATTCTCAGTTTCCATTTAAGGCAACTTTTTTCTTTCAAAGTGCCGTTGAGTTTATTTTCAGGAATGTTTCGCTGCCACTGAAACAAACTCTTGATGCCTGATTTTTGAATTGGCTGGAATATTCAAAACTCTTTGACCCAGATTGAGTGGTTGTAAATTCTCAGGGCTCCCCCACGAAGCTGTAACTTGCGATGAGCAGGCTACCATTGTCATGGCTCCTTCCCCACTCTGGCATGATAAATGCAGAAGTGGGGGCCAGCAAGTGTACCCCAAAGCCTTATCTACCAGGCTTTGGCATAAAACTTCCCCCAAGATCTTAAAACCCTAGATCTTGGGAATAAAACTTCCGCTGCCACCACCCAAATGTTGCTAAAGAAACCAGGGGAAAGATCATTTGGGAAATCTCACCCCTAAAATAAAAATCAGGACACACAATTAACCACTGCCAGGTTAATAAAAGAAAAGAAAGAACTTTTTATTATTACAACAATATTCCTGTTGCAACATAATGACTAGATAGGGAGGTAACAAAATATACTCATGGAGAAACTCCATGGGCCTAGAACTTAGTTGCAAAGAAAAGCCAAAACATCTTGTAAGCAGTGCCAGATCTCAGATCCCATACCCAATCCTTAAAACAATAAAACCTAACGAGACTACCTAAACTTTACCCTACTTACAGAAAATGAAGAATGGTGTCTTGGAGAGAGAGAGACATGCTTGTCCCTCTCTGTAGCTGCAGAGAGCTCTCTCAGAGAGACAAAAGGGAGAAAAGAAAAAAACCCAAATTCCTTTGTCCCAGTTTGAAAAGTCCCACCTACATTCCTATTGGTCACTCCACCTGGCTAGGTGTAGTTAACCCCTTAATCCCCAGGCTGCTGGCTAACCCTCATAATCATGACAACCATGACCTAGGACAACACGAAAGTAAAAAATAACCACGCAAAGTAGGTCCCAAAAGCATAGTAAGCAGATGTCCCAATTTTTTGCATTTGCTTTCTAGGGCAGGATATAGTTGCATATTTATAACAAATCTCCTAATATTGGGACAATCCCAATCATATTGGGACATCTAGTAATCTACCCAAAAGCCAAGTATGAGGAATTCACAATTTCTGATAAAAACCACAGCTTTACTAATGCCAAAATGTCCCACAAGTTGAAGGTGAATTTACCAACTGGTTCATTTCAGTTGTGCACAAGCTGATGCAAGAAACAGTGACTAAAAAAGTGTGGAAGGAGACAAGACGGACAGGGAGAAAACAAACAAAATATACAGTGTGCATGTGGCATGAGAACAAAGCATGCTAGGTGCAGGACCTGGGTTTGAAAATAACCAGACTAACCCTCAAGTGCATGATATCATGTGAAATGCCAGATGCATGCATTAAGATAGAATTAAACCTGTATATAAAGTAACAAATAATTGGACCTTTAGTATGCCCCGTTCACACCAGTTCCTCATGACACTGATTATCTCTGTGAAATCTACATGTTTTCCAAGAAATAAACAAGATCGGACAAGATTGCAGTCAAACTGAGTTTGTGCAGACCTAAGTTGACGAGGTCTTGGAGGCATCACAAAATCCTTCCTTGTCCCAATTCATTGTGCCCACTATGACCCACTAATATCTTCCGCTGTCCTCTCTCCATGCAGCTCTGTGCGGGTACACCTGGGGGACTATGACCTCCGGGCGAAGGAAGGCAGAGAACAAATAAGACGAATCCGCAACTACTATGTGCACCCCAAGTATCACCTTCGTCCTCGGGACAACGACTTCATGCTTCTGGAGCTGGATGAGCCGGCTGAACTCAACGACTATGTGAACACAATCAAACTGGCGACCCGTTGTTGCTCTTCTGGAACGCAGTGCACCGTGTCAGGATGGGGCTCCATCAGGTCCCCCAAAAGTAGGGAACTCGGGGGTATAGAAAGGAGGGATTTGCATTTGGAAAGCATTGAGCCACAATTGCTTGTTTTTTCTTTCTATTTGAAAAGCTTCTCTATGAAACTTCCTTTCCTTTTGTTTTCAAACTATTTTTAACCCTCACAGACGTTCTTCATGTTGAAAGGCAGCATTATAGTATAACGCAAAAGACTGGACCTAAATGAAGTGATGCGTTTGCCCTGGAACGAGAGGGGTTTTTTCCAGCTTTTCTGTTCATCAAAATTTTCATTTTTGGGAAAAGGAATGTGACCAGATCCCAGCTGGGGTTGATCGGCTGTCGCTTCAGTGGGGTCAACGGATCTATGTTAGTTTACATCGGTCATGGGTCTTTCACTACGTTTTTTAACAAAGGCTACGTCTAGACTCTAGTGCTTTTCCAGGATCCCAGAAAAGCAATGCAGCATCTAAGGAACGCATCCACTTTTTTGGACAAATTTAAAAAAAAAACAAACGCGTTCTTTTACCATCCCTGCCAACCTCATTTTACAAAGACGAAGGGATGGCTTGAAGGGTCAGGTTTTTCCAAAATTTGGCGCCATGTAGATACGCCAAATTTCAGAAAAGCTTCTTTCGAAAGAAAAGCGGGAAAAAATATGCAAATTGCGGTTCGCACTTTGTGTATCTTTTTCCAACTTTTCTTTGTAGTTTAGACACAGCCTTAGATTCAGTCTGTCACTAAGGCTACGTCTAGACTGGCATGATTTTCCGGAAATGCTTTTAACGGAAAAGTTTTCCGTTAAAAGCATTTTCAGAAAAGAGCGTCTAGATTGGCACAGATGCTTTTCTGCGAAAGCACTTTTTGTGGAAAAGCGTCTGTGGCCAATCTAGACGCGCTTTTGCGCAAAAAAGCCCCGATCGCCATTTTCGCGATGGGGCTTTTTTGCGCAAAACAAATCTCAGCTGTCTACACTGGCCCTTTTGCGCAAAAGTTTTGCGCAAAAGGGACTTTTGCCCGAACGGGAGCAGCATAGTATTTCCGCAAAAAGCACTGATTTCTTACAGTAGGAAGTCAGTGCTTTTGCAGAAATTCAAGTGGCCAGTGTAGACAGCTGGCAAGTTTTTCCAGAAAAGCGGCTGATTTTCCGGAAAAACTGGCCAGTCTAGACACAGCCCCTGTCTTTCACCTTGCACTCTGCTCACGTACTCTTGGTTTTCCTGTCGTTGCCTAGAGAAATTCCCCAGAATCATGCAGTGCGCAGATCTCCAGACCGTCAGCCATGCCGATTGCAAGGACAGTTACCCGGGCAGGATCACGAGGAACATGTTGTGCGCTGGAGTAGAAGAGGGTGGAATAGGCACGTGCCAGGTAAGGGTGTGGGGTAGGTGCTGTGTGTCAGAGTTCCAACGGCTCAATGCTCTTTACCTCCATAACCTCCAAATCCTCCTCAGCCTGCTATGGAGGGGCTGTCGTCACTTGGCCCCTGCCCCAGACAGACTTTGTCCCCCATTAAGAGCAGCCAGGCTGCCCTCCGGCCTCACCAAGCTTTACAGTCTGGGTTTCATCCACCTTCCTGGCCCCACCCCGGAGCACCTGACCTCACATCTGCTCTATAAGCCCTCCCTATTGTTTGGCTGTAGCCCGACAGGGCTCAAAGTAGGGCTCTCCCCGTCCCTGGGTCCCCTCCCTCCAATGAGTCCCTGTAGTCCTTGAGCTCGGGCCTGTGATCAGACCAAGCCAACAGTGACTAGGTTAAAACCTCCCCCTCAGGGCGGGCCACACCAGACCTGGGGCAGCGGCTGATGCTCAGGCCAAGCCCATAGTCAATGCTCTAGCAGGCCTAGGCCCGGGGGCAGGGCGGCAGCAAGCAGCAGTCACTGCAGTCTAGGGGCCCAGGCCTTGGTTCAGGGCCAGCCCGCCAACAAACAAACAATCGTTCAAATGGGGACACCCAAACAATTGCTCCGGCGGAGACCTGGCAAGTGCAGGCAGTTGGACTGAAGTAGCAGAAGCGGGAGACTGCCACCCAGGGATGAGGTGGGGGAGGGGGGACACAGGTCCACCCACTCCACTGCATCCCAGCCAAGGGCCCCCCCAGCAGCAGATCAGCTGCTGACCCCAGCTCTGGCTCAGTCGGACCCCTTCCGGCTGTCCCTGGGCTCCTTCCCTTCTTCCCCTGGGCACATACCTGCTCCCATAGTGGGTCCTCTGGGGCATTGGGGGTTGACACCTCTGGCAGGGCTTGTAGTTCCTCTGGCTCGAAGTCCATCTGGGGTCCCAGTGATCCAAGCCAGTCCTCAGCCTCCTATAGGTCGTCAGCTGCCTTCCAGCTCAGGAGCACAGGGCAGGCGTCTGGTTCTGGGTCTGACTAAGCTCCTGGGCTGGCCTTTTATAGTGCTAGCCACACCCCCTAACTTCCGGTCATGTGACCAGTTGGGTCCAGGCTCTGTCCACGGGGGCTCATGGAGGGGCATTTCCTCCTCTGGGCCAGGGGGCGGCCACTCCACCACTCTGCAGTGGCCCTGGGTGGGTCCTTCTGCAGGAGTGGACAGGCCCCGCTCTGTACACATGCGCTGGGGTGGGGCTGTGGTTGCTGACACTCGGCATTGTCTCCTCAGGGTGATTCAGGAGGCCCGTTGGTCTGCGACGGGAGGCTGCAGGGCGTGGTCTCCTGGGGGTCATCTGTCTGTGCCCTGCATGGACGGCCCGGGGTCTTCGCCAATGTCTGCAAAGCTTTCCGGTGGGTGAGGAACACCGTACGGAGGAGGTGCTCCGGGCTCGACTGAGAGCTCCCAGCGTGTCATGCCTGCTACAATAACCCTCCAGCCCCCACCCCAGCCGTGCTGCTCCTCCTCTTGCCATGACATTGAGCAACAGGGGAGGGAAGGGGCCTGAATACAGTGCCAGGAGCTGGCCTAGGTGGGACTGGAATGGAGACGCTGCATTGGGGCCAGCCAAAGCAGCCAGTAGTAGTCAGGCCTGACCATATGCTGAGGTTGGATTAAACATGTGTGAGTGGTATAAAAAGCATGAGATCGCCTGCAAATTCACAAGGCAGGTTTAAAAAAGAATGAGGTTGCCTTGAAAGTCACGAATCAGCCTGAAGTGAATGAAACTGGTTGAAAAGAATCAAGCGACTGACTTAAAATATCATGACATTTGGATTAGACTCATCAGCTCAGCCTGAGAGCCACAAGTCTGCTTTGGAAATCATGAGATCGCTGTTAAAGTCACAAGATCAGCCTGACGCTTGTGAGATGGGGCTAAGGAGCATGAGACTGGATTCTGAGGCTGGTTTTAAAATGGCCCTCCAAGGTGCTCAGGGACTGTGATCTGGTGTCTTGCATTGGTATGGCGGGGGAGGGCTTCACTTGCGTAGACGGCTTGGAAGTCCCGAAGTCTGAGGTCTGATAGATTTCAAGCTTTGCTGTGCTACTGAAACATAGTGACAACGACAGAGCCCTGGCACTTGTTGTGTGCACAAGCCTTGCGAGTTCCTGATCAGGTGATTTTCCACCACAGCCCCCAAATTGTTCTGAGAGTCTCTGCTTGTCCAGATAGAGTCTCCCATCTTCTAAGTCTGGCGAATATTCTTTTCATTTACGTATCATTACAACCCTACCAAATTCACAGCTGTGAAAAACACATCTGTTCTTTTATGCACTTTTACACAGATTTCACAGGGGAGACCACTGTTTAGGGAGCTTGTGGAATCTCCATCATTGGAATAGTGATAGAAATGTAGCCGTGTTAGTCTGGGGTAGCTGAAGCAAAATGCAGGACAATGTAGCACTTTAAAGACTAACAAGATGGTTTATTAGGTGATGAGCTTTCGTCATGCTTAAATTTGACACTTTACACCTGAGTATGTTTTGATCTGAGGAAGTGGGTCTGGCCCATGAAAGCTCATCACCTAATAAACCATCTTGTTAGTCTTTAAAGTGCTACATTGTCCTGCATTTTGCTCCATCATTGGAGATATTTTAGAGCAGGTTGGATAGACATCTGCCAGGGATGATTTAGACCAGTGTTTCTTAAACTGTGTTCCGCGGCACACTGGTGTGCTGCAAGGCAGTTGGAGGTGTGCCATGGAGCACAACAGAATTCAAAATGGCCGCCATTAAAGGGACAGGTGACTTTTTTTTCTCAATAACTTTCCCCCAACCCTTTTTTTCCTCAATAATCCCTCGAAGTCCCCCACCCCCCACCACCACCACCACCACCACTTTTTTTTTTTCTTTTGGTCAACAAAAAATCTTTGGCGTTCCTCATAAAAATTATTGATTAGAGTTCCTCGGTCTTCAAAATGTTAAGAAACACTGATCTAGACAGTGCTTAGTCTTGCCTTAAGGGCAGGGGACTGGACTTGATGACCTCTCAAGGCCCCTTCCAGTTCTAGTGCTCTATGATTCTCAAAGAGGAGGTCCCAAAAGCAGGCTGTGGGGAGGTTATTTGGGGGGAGTCATAGTCTTGCCACCCTTAGTTCTGCATGGCTGTCTTCAAAGCTGGTTGGCTAGAGAGCAGTGGCTGCTAGCCAAGGGCCCAGCTCTGCATGCCAAAGAACAGAAATACAAGTGGCAATACCATACCATGTGCCAGTACTTCAGCACTGCTGCTGGAGGGAGCGATGCCCTCAGAGCTAGGTGGTTGGAGAGCAGTGGCTGCTGGCCAGGACAGCAGCTCTGAAGATAATATTGCTGTCAGCCAAAAAGCAGCAGTGAGGATGGCAGTTCTGCAGTCCTCCTCCAATTGCAGCCCCCACCATAACACCCTTTTGCGTCAAGACCCCCATGGTGACAACAGTGTGACATTTCATATTGAAACGTCTGAACTCATTAAGAAGCCATGAGAGAGAAGACAGAGGCCGTTTGTGCTCATAAATGAAAGCTGGTTGGAAAATGAGGCTCCTATGTCATGGGACATTCGGACATTTCCTGGTGGGGGCACCAATCTGTTGTGAATGGGAAAGCAAAGGTGGAATTCCCAATGCCCAATACAGCAAAATGCTCCCAAATTGTTTTCCTCATGTTGAAAAGTTATGGTTCAAACTAGATTTCAGAGGGGTCGCTGTGTTAGTCTGTTTCAGCAAAAACAATAAGAATTGTAGTGGCACTTTAAAGACAAACATATTTATTGGGGTATTAGAGCATAAGCTTCTGTGAGCTATAAGTCACTTCCTCAGATGAGAAAGAAAGAAAGAAAGAAAGAAAGAAAGAAAGAAAGAAAGAAAGAAAGAAAGAAAGAAAGAAAGAAAGAAAGAAAGAAAGAAAGCCATTTCTATTATCCTTCATCTTGTCACAGGCTTAGAGCGGATACCCCTTGTCGTCCCTTCTAAGCCTCTAGTTGTATGATTCGGTGATAATGTTCAAAACCTTCCATGCCAATGATGCACACAAGAGAAGTACCCCAAAGACAAGAGGTATTGAGAAATATATCACCCTTTCTAACGCAGTTCACGGAAGAAGGTCCTGGCCACACATGCAAAACTTTAGCCGTGCTCTTTCAACACTGATTTGATCTGGGTAAGTAACACGCAGTGTACCGTGTCTAAGTTCTCTTGTCCGAATGAATCCTTTTGGAAAAGAAAGAGCAAATGTTTCATGTCGACATTGTCAGTTTGAGTCCTTTAGTTTTGACTTTGATGTTACACAGAACACAGTCTAAGGTCCCAGGGAAAACTTTCTAGCTCCGAGCAGAGTTGAGCACTGCAATAGCTTGCCTTGGATGATGATGTCAAGGATGTTCTAAAGGTACAAATGCTGCCTCCATGTGGGGCAATGGACCTCACTCGATGACCTTGGAAAGTCATTTCCATCACTAAGGCTATGTCTAGACTGCAGGCTTCTTTCGAAAGATGCTCTTTCGAAAGCATCTTTCGAAAGAGCATCTTTCGAAAGATCGCGTCTAGACTGCAGGCGGATCTTTTGAAAGAAAAATCCGCTTTTTCGAAAGAGAGCACCTAGCGAGTCTGGATGCTCTCTTTCGAAGACGGCCTCTTTACATTGAAGAACGCCTTCCTTCGAAAGAGGAACTTTCGAAGGAAGGCGTTCTTCCTCGTGAAACGAGGTTTACCGCCATCGAAAGAAAAGCCGCGTTCTTTCGAAATAATTTCGAAAGAACGCGGCTTGAGTCTGGACGCAGGGGAAGTTTTTTCGGGAAAAGGCTACTTTTCCCGAAAAAACCCCTGAGTCTGGACACGGCCTAAATTTCTACGATTTTATGGCTAGCAGAAAATACAGAAGGATGGGTAGGTAGGTGGATGGATGAGTGGGTGGGTGAACATAAGAACAGGAGAAATCAGCAGCCCTGCTGAGTCAGACCAAAGGTCCGTCCAGTCCAGTGTCCTGTCTGCCGACAGTGGCCAATGTCGGGTACCCCAGGGGGAATGAACAGAACAGGGAATCACCCAGTGATCCATCTTCTGTCGCCCATTCCCAGCATCTGACAGAGGCTAAGGACACCAACCCTGCCCATCCTGGCTAACAGCCATTGATGGACCTGTCCCCCATAAATGTATCTATTTGAACCCTGCTACGGTCTTGCCCAAAGCAGCTGCGGGTGGGAAGGGAGACAATCCAGTGAGTGATTGAGGGAAGGAGGAAAGCAGTGAGCAATAGGGGCGGGGCCTTGTGGGAGAGGCAGGGAAGTGGGTGGAGCTTTGAGAGAAGAGGTGGGGCAGGGATGGGGCCTTGGAGATCTGGTTACCAACCAAGGTGGTAACCTTAGGGGCAGGTTGGAGCACCAGGGTTCAAATTACAGGGCTGGGAAAGGTGCCCTGCACACAGCCCCCCCCCAGTTCCCCATGGATGTGGGCATGTGGGACGCTTTGCCATTTATACTTCTTTACAGTTAGAACCGTTATAGGGACAAGATGGCGCAGATCAGATCTTACTTTGAACTAACCACTCACTGCTGAGGGAAGAAATAAGCTTTGGCACTCACACAAAGCCGCCTTCTTCGGGCCTGGGAACGGTCCCTCAGAGAGTCCCAGCTAACTAGGAGGTGGAGCAGATGGCTTTAGCGTAAACAGTCACATGCGCTCAGGGCGGGATTAAGGGGGGGCTAGCCGGGCAGCTGCCCAGGGTGCCAACATATGGGGAGCGCCCGATTGCAGCTGTAAGGGGCCCTGCGTATCAGGCGCTGCCATCAGGCGCCACGTGCCCGATCGCAGCTGTAAGGTGCGCAGCGCGCCGGGGGGCGGGGCCACACATGCGCCGTGCTCCCGGAGGCGGAGCCATGCATGTGTCGTGCGCCCGCTGCCCGGGGCGCAGGAACGGCTCGAGCTGGCCCTGCATGCATTGCAAGAAATGATTCAAGATCAAGTGGGCAGTTAACCCCTCTGCAGTCATAAGACCAAGGTGGGTGGGTGGGCCCTTTAAATCTCTGCTGGAGCCCCATGCAGCACGCTGTGGACAGAACGTGGGGGGGCAGTCTGGACAGCGCTGAGGGCCAGCTTTCCCAGCCCTGCCCTTCCACCCAAGGTCCTGCCCCTTTCGGGAGCATGGAGCCACCTCCCGCCCACACACACACACACACACCCCCACTTGGCCCAGGGACCTGGTGATTTTGTCAGCTTGTCTGGCTTGGAAATAGCTCAGGGTATGTCTACACTACCCCGCTAGTTCGAACTAGCGGGGTAATGTAGGCATACCGCACTTGCAAATGAAGCCCGGGATTTGAATTTCCCAGGCTTCATTTGCATAAGCGGGGAGCCGGATCCGCTCCCTGCTGCTGCTGCAGGACCTTCCCTTAGCCTGGGCCGGGACTTGTCCTTGGTAGCCTCTGTGAACAGCTGGGAGCTGGGAGGGGCATAAGGACAGAGGGTATGTCTACACTACCACCCTAGTTCCACGAGGTGTACAGATAGTTCGAACTAGCAAGCCATTCCGAACTATCTAGCCCGTGCCGCGTGTAGCCGCGCAGCACGGGGTTCGAACAAGCCGGCATTTAAAAATGGCGGCTCCCCGCTTATGCAAATGAAGCCCGGGAAATTCAAATCCCGGGCTTCATTTGCAAGTGCGGTATGCCTACATTACCCTCCTAGTTCGAACTAGCGGGGTAGTGTAGACATACCCTCAGTGGCAAACTGCCACCACAATATTTGTCTGGGTCTACACTTTGCTCCTTGTGTTGGTGTCCTCACTCTGCTACACAGATGCGATTATCTGGCTTACCCATCTAAGTGTAAACTTCTAGTAGTTGCCCTATATTTAGATCAGTCCGGTGAGGAAGGCAGATTGAACTGTCAGGATGGGGCATTGTGGGCTGGCTCCTGAAAGCCGGTAACGGTTAGCGGAAATGAACGATGTCTGTGTGGACGCTGTGTTGCCCTTACTGCATCGACAGTGACTGAAGTTATCAAGTCAGCGTAGCAGGGAGGTTTCGTTGGCTGGAGCACCCGTGCAGGCACCGAGTTAGTTCAACAGGAGCCAACTCTGTAGGGCAGTCCAGGAAGGAACCCAAGAATTGTGTCCAGCAAAGTTATAAACTGAAGCTCCCTGGCTCTCTGTCTGAACGTGTTGCACGGGTTTCCAGACAGAGAGGTCAGATATGGAGGGTTTTTCCAGCTCTATTTCCAAGCCAGACAAGCCGACAGACTTATCAGGTCCTTGGGCAAAGTGGGGGGGATGGCTCCGTGCTCCCAAAAGGGGCAGGACCTTGGGTGGAAGGGCAGGGCTGGGGCAGCTGGCCCTCAGTGCCGTCTGGACTGCTCCCTCTCCGTTCCGTCCAGCGCGTGCTGCACG